TATTAAATATCATTCATTAAATTTCTTATAATAAAAGATTTGAAATCTGCAGTAGTGTCCCCAATACTGAAGCTCATAAAAATTGGTAGCACATAGCTCACTTATCGGCAAAAGACACAGGAAAGAGACGGTGCCGATGGGCGTATACACTACTCTACGAAAAGGCACGGAGAGCTACAAATGAACGCGAACAGACAGCTAGGTGACGGCGAAAAAAAAAAAAAAAACTTTGTGGGAATACAAGCGTGACCTTCGATAGCCACGAAGCGACGATATAAGCGGAGAACATTATCCCAGCTTGCGCATGCGCTGAGTTCAACATGTGCTACTCCAATGAAATCTATGGATTCACAGATTTGTATCTGCATCTACTGCGCCTGTGTTAGGTAGAGTCAACTATTGTGTCTGCGACATGTGTATTGTGTATTCTGACTTGTCCAGAAACCTCTTGAGACTAATAGATTCTTAATTACCCGTTCAAGCCGAATAGAATTCAGTGATATTACAAATGTAAGAACATTATATATATTATATTACATTATTTCTAAATAATTAAATCGATTATAGTGAAGCCCACTATGTGAAAAAAAAAAAAAAACGACAATGGAACGATAAGTATGCCGTTTATGGATTTACCTGCACAACCGAAAAAGATGGCATGCAATGACCGCAATGCATTTTGTGTTTCAAGATATTTTCAAATATCAATCACAAACCATCAAAGTTATTAGAGCATTTCAACAATGTGCATGGTGGCGAAAAAGCGCATAGCATGAACAGCTTGAAGTCAAAGAAGGCTCGGTTTGATACCAGTGGAACTATCCTAAAATTGTGCGGACCAGCAATTCAAAAACCTTTTATGAAGAGTCATATCAAGTGGCATATTTATGTGAAAAAAAAAAAAGAAAGAAAAAAGAAACCTCACAACGATCGCTGAAAGAGTTGATTAAACCTTCTGCTTTATTATTATTATTATTGCTAAAACAGTTTTAGATTCGGAAGCACATAAAAAAATCCAACAGATTCCATTATCGAATGATATTATACGATCGCGAATACAAAAATCTCAGGTGAAGATATTTTAATACAAGTAATTGAAGACATAAAAATCAGTCCACTAAAAATAAGTATGCAACTGGATGAGTCAACTGATGTTGATAATTTTAGCCAACTTTTGGTATTTGTCAGGTATGTGAAGGAAAACGAGGTGATAGAAGAATTTCTATTTTGTGAGCCACTAGAGGTGAATACGAGAGGAATTGATATTTTCAATCGCATCAAAGACTTTTTTACCAAATATCAATTACCAATGAATGTGATTGGCTCAATATGCACTGATGGAGCCCCAGCAATGTTAGGCAAAAATTCAGGATTTTTTTCACACATGAAAAGAGAATTACCGGAAGTTATAATAACGCATTGCATGTTGCATCGTCATGCACTTGCGTCGAAAGCATTGTCAGAAAGTTTAAAACAACATCTAACTACAGCAGTAAATGTAGTAAAATACATCCGACGGCGAGCGCTTAATCATCGCATTTTTCGTGCATTTTGCGAAGAAATCGGTGCTGATCATACCGTGCTCCTATATCACACCAAAATACAATGGTTATCTAAGGGTCGCATGCTTAACAGAGTTTTTGAATTGCGTGAGGAAATTATTCAATTACTGACAAGTCAAAATTGTTATTTAGTGAAAGATTTTGAGAGTAATGATGCAATGCTGAGGCTGGCCTGCGTAACAGACATATTTAGCCATTTAAATGAATTGAATTTATCAATGCAAGGATTTGGTATAAATATAATAATATCTAGTGAAAAATTATCTTCATTTATTGCAAAATTAGAAATTTGGATACGTCGAGCAGAAAAGGGTAATTTTGCAAACTTTCCCTTGCTTGATTCTGTTATTGCGAAAAAAGAAAAGAATACAATACATTTGAGACGACATTACCCGACATTGTAATACATTTGAGACGATTGAGAGAATCATTCAATGGATATTTTTCTACCGGAAATATTACCAAAACTCAGAGATGGAAACTGGATCCATTCTATTGACTTAAATTTGATGGATGATAGTGATCTGAAAAAAGATCAACTTATTGAAATGCAAGCAAGTGGACATGTTCAAATGGAATTCGAACAATTAGAATTGTAACATATCTGGTGTTCACAGTTACAACATTATCCAGAATTGGCGAACAGAGCATTGCATTTACTCTTACCCTTTGCTACCACCTACTTGTGCAAAATGGGATTTTCATCGCTTTTGCATATAAAATCTAAAGCAAGAAATCGCTTAAATGCAAGTGGTGACTTACACGTATGTCTTTCAAAAAAGGAACCTCGCTTCGCCAGTATAATAATGAACAAACAACAGACTAGTCATTAATAAAAATAATATTGTTTTGTATTTATATAAAATGTACAATGTTTTTCAATAAACAATAAGTTTTGCAAAAAAATTTATTTTTCTAGACTAAAAAAATTAAAACACATTTTTCAATAGGGTGCAGGAGATATATTTTCAGATTCAATGGGGTGCGACTCGCTAGAAAGGTTTAGAAACACTGGTGTACATGGACACCAAGTTTGTGCAGATCTTTGACTTAATATTTTGGTTTTGTGTAGTAGGCATCTTGAAATTGTGCCTTGCTGGTAAATCACCAAAAATTGCCAATTTTTATTAAAGGGCATCCTTAAATAGATTTTTACCTTATTTTCTTATACAAGCAGTCAGTGTCCTGAAACTGCTTCACCCACTGTTATCTGTTATCCATATAGTGGTTCTTTACCAAACTTCGTACAAAAATGTCTTTGAACGACAATAAACAATGATGCTTTGGCACATTCCAAAACATAGTATACTTTCTCTTGCATGGATGACACCATTTTGATTATCAGTACTTCTAGTGGCGTTATCATCATAACCAAAACATCATATTTTACTTAGAAATGAAAGAAAATTAAGAATAAATGCTACAGTCAAAGGATCAAAAGAAAAAAAATAGGGCCTTTGTACAAAACAAACCAGGAGGGGACATACAGCTGATAAGTGCAAAGATTGTTAAGACAAACAGGCCTGTGAGTAGAACATTTTGACCAACACCATTCTTCCTCGTAGAACAATAAACGCTTTTTAGACTTATTTCCGTTTTATCAAATGTTTTCGGTAGTTATGCATTACCCCTTTGACAATGAAAGTTGGCTACAATTGAATCATGAAAGATGATGCATATGCGACCAAAGTTGTACCAATAGGTACCCAATTCTGAGTCACACTTCTATCAGCAACCCTTATAATAAAACATTCATCAATCTTTCTGCACAAACTACCTAACAACTAAAATTGTGAAAATAACTGACTGTCTTTGTAAAAAAGCTTGCCAGTTTTTATTATTTTGTTAAGCTAGCTAATTTTAAAGAAAGTTCTGTTTAGAATGTTACAAGAAGGAACTTTCCGCAGATTTTTGTCCAAATCTATTGTTGCTCTCAGCCATATCCAGCTATTCATTTCCTCATTTAACAGATGTTAATTATGTTCAACCAGCACTAAATGAAGTAGACTGCAGTCACAGATGTGATTCATTTCACAGCCTTCAATTTTTTCAAAATGCAAGATAGGGGGAAAAAAAAACAGCAAAAGCAACAGTTAATTTATATCCTTGTTCGTGGCTCATAGCGAATGAATTGCATTACATCAAATGAAAGCACAGATATTATGAATGTATCATGATGTCACATTTATCCATGATTGACGATGATAAATTGCAATGCCTGGCAACAGTTTCACAGACTACGCCTGGCAATAGACTATGCATAAGTACCAAATTACTTTGTTAACAAAGTTTGTGAATTTAATTATGACTATATTATTTTTGCAACTTAATATATTATGTCAATAAAAGCATGTTTTAAGTTTTAATCATCTTGGAAAATAATAATTCAACATAGATTATGCCTGGGCTAGACAGATTCTAACAAAAGAAAATTATTAAATGTTGTATTAGTGCCGATGAATCTAATCAGAACTACATTTTATAAATTTTACAAAGCTTTTATGTTAACAGGGTGCCACTTAGTGCCAAATATAAACATTGGAGCAAAATCTAACTAGATGAAACAGCTTCATGAAAAGAACTATTTTTTTACATAATGAATATAATAAATGTAATGCTTGATGTGTGCAATGCGAAATTTGTGTGATACAAATATTGCTGTGCACATGTGGAGAATGAAACTTTTATTCTCCCCACATACAAGCAATATGTTTTCATTAAAAAAAAATATCAGAGAATTACAGAAATTTGGCATCAGGCATAAATCTGAAGAAGATTGACTACCTGCATTTCAACACAGAAGCAACTAAAATTTTATGGCAGAAAACTGACGTTTATTATTCTTTCCACTTGTTTGCAACATCATTGCTGGTACAGTTTAAACAGGCTACCACATACCACGCTTTGACGCACATATCGCAGCTGGCACCCTTTAACAGAAAGCACCCCATTTTACTAATAGATCTACAAATTGGACTCAAATGAATTATTGTTAAAGAAAACTGTATATTAAGAAATCAAACTTGACTGGAGACTGGTGATAGTCACTTAACTCAGGGATAGTAAAAAACATGTTACTTCAGCAGTCTTGCCATAATTAATTAATTTTAGTCAGCAGTCTTGCCATAATTAATTAATCAGGTAATAAAATGTAAATTTATTTCTTTGTAAAAGAACAATGGATTACACGCACTGCTACAAATATGAAGCAGTTACATTTTAAGCCTATACTCAGATTCTATGTTAATGTCTCTAAAGTGCTCTACAATTTTATTATACTATTCTGAGCTTTAAGACAGTTATAGCTAAATTGTTTACTAAATTACTTTACATGGGACACTAGTCTTTTTATACAACACATTTAAGCAATAAAAAGTAATATATTTATATTAACATACCATAACCACATAAATAAGCATAAAAATTTTTAAATTTTACCCTTAAAAGCTTCAACTGCTCCAGGTGCTTTGTTTTTGTCAGGATGAAATTGAAGTGCTAATTTTTTATACTGTCTACGAAGATCAGATTCATTGGCATCTTTTGTAACTCCTAATATTTCATAATAATCTTTACACTTGCGTATTCTAAAAACACAAAAAAAAAAATCTTTTACTGCATTCTTAAAAATGTTTTAATTTATAAAATTTATAAATAATATTTTAAATTAAAAAAAATTATTATTCCATGAAGTAGGAAGGTCATCTGCAAAAAAATGCATGAAAGTTATTTTATCTGATTTTATCACTTAGCCAAAAAAAAAAAAAAAAAAAAAAAAAAAAAAAAAAAAAAAAAAAAATCGAAGAAAATGTCACTTGTATTACTTATGCCCAAATCTCATTTGTATAAATCCTGAGGATGGATTTACAAATTGCTGCATACAAGTGGAGAATGAAACTATTGTTCTACCCTGTACACAATTATTTGACTGTGAAAGAAATGTCTTCTTAGGAGGAGGAAAGAAGAAAGCGTTATCCTAGTTCTTTGACCCGAGAAATTTTTGCAAAAGGGGAGAAGATTCAAAGTTTTAATTTAAAATTATCACTCTGATAAAGCAGCAGCAAGTTATAGCATATCTGTTTTCAATGACAATATCATATGTTAATTTAAAAACATTTTAACAAAGAGCAGCATACAAAAGACAATATCTAAAATCAAGAAGAATCAAGTGAACCTAAGAGATTAAAAAAAAAAAAAGTATGAAAGAAGGTGCTCCAGGAAGACAGTTCCTTGATGATTTTATAGAAAGGGATTCCTCATCCAAACTATCTCTACTCTTTCTCTTTCTCATCATATACAAATTATAACATTCACTCCCCTCTGTACAGTATTATAAAACAGAGATTAAATTCTTAAAGGGATTCCTCATTCAAACCATACCATCTCTACTCTTTCTCTTCACTTACCACTTATACCATTCACTCCTCACTGTACAGTATTCTAAAATTAAATAAGTTTTTTTTTTTTTTTTTTTTTTTTTTTTTTTTTCCCCTGTATCTGGATTTTTATATCTACTGTATCTAATGGTTTCCACTAATAGCTAAAATTAATACCTATTTATTGTCCAAGATCAAATTAATGCATTTCACATTAATTGTTACGGGGAAAATAGTTTTAGTTTATGAACTTTTCAGATGATAAACAACCTTCATGAATAAACAGAATTTGCAAACTGAGGTTTCACTATATATAATTTGGTTTAAGAAAATTCTTCTTTCGTTTTTAAGCATTTGGCATTAAAGACATTGAGGCTAATCTCTGGAATATGGTAACAGGTAGTTTGGCGACATTTTGGTAAGGCGATAAAGGTTACTAGCTAGGACTTTAGCAAGTGTACATAGATAAAGTCAAGAGTGTGCGCAATGCCATTTTTGTGCAATTCTGGGATGTTTTTTTAAGTGAAAATAGGTCGACGCATACATGGATGCTGTGAATCTGCAATTCTTAAAAACGCGGCAAGCAGTTTGCGATTCTGCACTTTCTCCTAATTTTGCACCTAATCTTCGTCGTGATTAAGCACTTTTGTTCCATAAAAATTCTAACATAAACGTAATTCGGCTAGCAGATTGTTGAAAAAAAATGTTGAGTCAAAAAAAAAAAAAAAAAAAACCTTTATTTCGTGAAACAAAATGGCGTCTAAACAAAAACTAGCAGGTTGCTGTAGCAGGGTTGGTCGCCAAATTATCGCCATGTTACCATAATCCAAAGATTAACCGACATTGATTTTGACATTAAAGATTAGATTTTAGAAAAATTGTAATACTATAGATAATGGATAACAAACATATTTGCTTCACTTAATTGAAATTTTAGTGAAAAATTAAAATTGTTATTTCTAATACATGACTTTAAGCTAAATTAATGAGAAAATTTGGCTACTTCCAATAACTTCAAGCCTTTAAGTGCACAAAAAAGAAAGTGTACTCTTAAATTAAATGACTTGAAAATAAGTGATATGCTAAAGCAGCACACATCAAATTTCTACTTACTGCTCAACTGCTAGAAGTTGCTCTTCTGTATACTTGATAGTTTCTTCTGCAGCCGTACCATTGCAAGTTTTGCTAGATTCCTCCACATTAGTCTCTGACCTACGTTTCCGAAGTGGAGGAGTTCTGGGGATATCACTTCGAGCAGGCATGATATGAATACAGAATTTCTTAAACTAAAATTTGAATAATAATTGTGTTTTAATACAGAAAATAAAAAAATCAATTTATTGATTTTTTGGGGAAGGGGCAATACAAACAATTGATTTCATTGAATTAATCTCAAATACATAACAAATACTTCAGTCTAACATTAAATAAATAAATAAATAAATATGAATTTTCAAAATCTTTGCTAATGCAGTGAACATATCAGCATTACACATTAACTAAGAATTAGCATGAATGGACAATATCAAGGTTAAAAAAAATTAGTATAACTAGAGGTTGATATGATATGATAATGTCTAGATAAACAGTAGAGAAAGATTTTAAATACAAAATACTTAAATACTTGTTGCATGGTTTTTATTTAGAAAACTTATTGAACTACATACATGTATAGCGGTTCCAAGTACCAGTTTTATTTTCCTAGCAACAGTGGAAATAAATTCCGAAATATTTCTCTCTTAACAAAGAATCTTATTAATGTCAATATGATAACAGTTTATTGATACCTGCATTTTTAATTCAAAAATTTTGATGGAATATAGAAATAGAGCATATAGCTGTTAAAATGGAATAATTCATTTGAAAATGTTTTCTAGCATAAAAACAATTTTTTCTTCTTTCTTTAATTTCATATGGTAGAACCGGATTTCATTATTCTTTACCAGACTTACTGATTTGCCTGACTAATGTCTACAAAATAATGTTTTACATTGAAGATGCTATTCTAAAATGTATCACATAAGAAAATGCTATCTCTAAGATTATCATCCCCAAGATAGGCCACATGGAGCTCCAGAGTTAGACAATATCTAGGCAAGTAGAATGTTGCAATACTAAAGAAAATCTTACGATTTCTAGATTAGACTGCCATCAATCTTTATTTACATCAGTATTTTCTGATTACTTGTACCTCCAATAAAAATTCATCGAAAATTACTCATGAGGCAATGCTGTGTGTTGCAAAAATAGTTATATGACAATTCAGGAAGTTATTAAAAAAGAACAGCAGGAATGCACATAACCCCAATTCAAGTAAGCACATAAACTCTGTATTACAGTCTAGTCAAAATAGATATGTGTTATATATATATATATATTTGTTATATTTGATATGTGTTATATATATATCTATTTCGACTACTAGACTGCAATGCAGAGCTTGTACAGTTCCCCCCTTTTTTTAAGTGAAATACGTCCCTGCGTACATAGGCAGAAAAACAGTGCAATTACTGAAGCATTTCCTCAAAAATAATTGTTTTATTCCCACTGCTTCTTGTATTTTTTATTGCTTGCTTGTGTTGAATGAAAAGACAGTGACAGTGCATTTTTACTCTGTATCAGATACAAGAAAGTCTGGAACAACAAAAGGATGAAGAGAAGTAGGATCAAGGTGGTGGAGGAGAATATTTCACTTAGCCGCCATCAGTCGGCGAAGAAGAATGTAATGAGTGGAAGCATTTTTTTTTATTTTGACCAATTGCTTTTTTATGGAATTCTTGGTGTGACATCATTTCTCTAGAAAGTCACCAATGAGCTTGCAACTTTTCATTGGAAGCATGGTTAATTACAAGATACCCTTATGTCTCTGCTTGAAGACAAACAGGAATTCAGAGAGATCATCTCTATTGTAGTAAAACATTTTAAGCTTTTGCAACATAGGAGGGTTTCTGACACATAAACATCAGCACATTGTATTTATTATAAAAAATACAAAGTCCTCATTACAAATAAACTTTCTTATTATGTACACTTCTTCTTAAGATAAGATTTTTATTTAGTTTATTTATAATGAGATAATAATTTTAGATATTATTAGACACTTATTTTTGCTAACATTAGACTTATTTTTAGATAAGGTATTTTTGCTTTATTTGTACATACTTATGTAAAATACATAGTAATGATTTATTACCAAAGACCAAGTTGTTTTCAATATAAATATTTGGAACTTTTCTGTTATACAAATGTAATGCTTTTAACATCCCGAGAAAGAAAAGCCAAACACAATGAGAACCAACAATTAGCACCATTTGATGTCTATGTATGTATGTAAACAAGAGTAATTAAACACACATACATATTATTACAATATTATTACACATACATATTATTACATTATACAAAAATGTTTGGCAAGTACATAATGGGAAAAGTATAAAATATTTTAAAGATAATTTTTTTACATTATATGGTTTTGATCTAATATTTCTCATGTTCAAAAACTATGAAAAACTTATTACATAATATGGAAATATCGGCAGCTTCAAATATAATTCAGTTTGCATTAACACACCCCATGACATAAAGACTCATTAAAAAAAAAAACACTCGGAAGTCAAATTATAAAGTGATAATTGTATCAGTATACACTGTTAAAACTATTCTTTAATGCAAGAGTAAGATAAAAACATGAGCATGCAGGTTTCCGAAATCCTTTGCCAAAAATAAAATAACCAAATCTAATAAATATTTCTATAAATTCTCCAATTTCTCATTCTTGGAAAATATTAAATCATGAAGACAAAATGCATCATTTGTGAAATAAAACAACATAACAAACAAATTTTGCTAAAATCTAATTTACTGATGTGAAGTTATTTTAAAAACTTCATTCTCAATAAATCTGAATTTTTTTGTTTTGTTTGTATATATACTTTGAGTGCTGTCTATATTCTTTAAACTTTTTCAATGCTAAAATGGTGAATGATGGACATTAAATATTAATTAATGTTATTATTAACACAATGCAACATAACTTCCAAAGCAAATTAATTCCTGTTCCGATTTACTTACTGCATTTAATAACAAAAATTTTAATTAAACATTAATTAACATTATTAACACAATGCACCATAACTTCCAAAGCAAATTACTTCCTGTTCCGATATTACTTACTGTATTTAATAACAAAAAATTAAATTAAGATATGATAATGTTTGATACAGATTCCAGAAATTAATAAAGAAAATATTTTGGTGAAATTCCTAATTAGGTCATTTTTTTTAATTTGTGTATATTATCAGATAAAATAAAATGCATAATTCTTACTATGCTTTATTTTACTTATTTTCCCTTCAGTCTCTTAAAATGCATTTTAAATCAATATGTTAAAGATACACAAATTAAAAACAATGCGAAAAATGTAAATAGAAGGTAGCAATATAAAATAAACAACTCTCAAAATCCCTTTTTCTCCCTGTAGTATTTTGAAAGTAGCAATTAAAAATGACTAATATAGAAGATAAAGTTCAATATTTAATTGTAAGTCATTATGGTAATAGAAGTTATACATTGAAATTCAGAAAAAGTACTAAATGTCACAAATATATAACATGATAACTTTTAGATATGCTGAAAACATGAGTTCTGAATTTGCATAAAAAATATTAACTCCTTAAGGAATCATTTCTCTATTAAAGAAACTTTGGTTTTAGTCAACTTAAATTTGAAATGTATTTGCGTCTAAGACAAATGTGTAAATATTTACATTAGTTTCAAGGAAGACCACAAAAAATACTAGACAAGAAACACGATAACACAAAGAATCTCACACAAATTTCCTCCATAAACCGAAAATAATGAACGAAACATACTTCACAAATTATACCAATAAAAGAAAGTTATACTCACATAATTTAAAATGCACTACTCTTTCAATCAATATTACCTCACATCTTTTCCTTCTGATTTAATCCCAGTAACGATTACGATACGTATTTGAAGAAAACTATAGGGGACAAGGAAAAATTTACTAAGAAATATTAAAATAAGCCATTAATCATTCCTACTCAAGAACACCGATGATGTTTTCTGCTCGACATAGACGATGCCCTGCAATATTATTCGAAAATATAATATACAAACATATATTATATTTCTTGATCTAAATTCATTATAACATAAAAAAATTCAACATTTAATTCAACAATTTTCTTCTTGTAGTTATAATATTAATATTCGTAATTTAAAACTAATAAATGTTCATTGTATATGATCCAAATGATCGAGTGTCTAATAAAGTTCGAGATGGGCGAGTTCTAAACCACAGCTCTCAAAAGCTGAATTATTTTGGTGATTTTTATGTTAATTAGTTAGAAACTGAGCTATTTAACAACGACAAGCATGTTTATGTCTACGGTGAAAGACGCCTAAACCAACTCTTAACTTGAGTAAAGGCCCGTTTACGTAATGGCCTCAAAAACCTACAAATTGGACGTTCAATACAGCTTTTGTATTTTATCCACGTGCAAGCTCTTACGAAAACATTCTCGGGGATCAGCAGTCTTCAAGAGCTTTTTCACAATTAAATGATTCCTTACTGATTACTGCCTAGGAACTCATGGCATAAGACTAGGACATCCAATTTCAGAAGACTCCCGAAAATTATCTGATATTTCCCTAGAAATGTGATATTCCTTTTTAAAAAAGAAAGGATGCCTTGGGGAGCCATGAAAGAATGGTGTGCTGAGGACGTCAGTTTCTATGATCCACGTGTCTTCCAACTGGGAGCTTGCTAACTGAGTATGATTTGAGAATTTATTTTGGGATTCAAGAGCAAAACATTATTCTAGTACAGTCAAATATTATTGGAGGAGTTAGAGCAACAAGAATCAGTATAATGTTCATAAATTTGTAGGATTGGTTTCGAAGATATAGAACCTGCTTCTTCAGCTACAAAAGTGAAAACGACGAAAGAGAAGCCAGTGATAAGGTAAGATGAAACTACTCTCCCAAATGCCAACCGGATTTCTTTGGTGTCTAACGTCTGGTAATATCCACTGAAAAGAGCGAGGGTGGAACGAAAATAGTGGAGATGGGCGTGCTTGACACAAAGGGACTGAGTTGAGGATTTGAACTGGATTAGAATGCGAGGAAGAAACTCAAGCTACTGATACCATCTATTAATGAAAAATGAAAACAACTATGAAATAATTTCCTTAAAAGCTGAGGGTAAAGTCGGGTTGGAAGTGGGATCGTTAACTAGAACTGAAAGATGTTTATGAATATGAAATGCCTCTAGAAAATCTAATTCGACAATGGAAGAGATATTTTTAATCATTTTTGCTCCAGAAAATTGGTAAATATGATTTTCTGTAGGACAAGAGAAGATTTATATGTTTCTTTTTCCCTAACGTATGCCACACGTTCCTTAGCACGAAATTTTAAGGCTCTCTTAATTTCACCAATGTAAATTAAGCCACATCAGCAAGGAATCCTCTATATATCACAGAAGCTCATATCTGGAATGGGGTCCTCAAATATAGAACTGCGAATTTTATTGACAGAAGAGAAAACGACCTGAAAGTTGAATTTCTGTAAAATAAGTGCAATTTTATAGCTAATCGATGAAAAGAAAAGAATCACAACAGATTTCATATAACCTGCTAAAACTAAAAGCTTTTTTTGATGTGTTAAGATGGGAATATTTTTAACCGTTTAGTCAATAAAACTAGGTAAAAAGGCCTGTATCAATAGCCAACTTGGTTCTTGATCAAGAGCCGACATGGAGGAGCAAACTTGAAGTGCACGAAAAACGAAGGAGTAAAATTTAACTTCTGTTTATTCTAATGATATGATTTGAAGTGTGATGGAAGGCAAACAGATAAAGGTTTACTGTAAATAGTAGTACTGAAGTTAGACATGCTGAGTGTGACAAAGATGGCGATGAAAGCAAGAGAACTGGATATCTCAAGTTCAAAAGTCAACTAAGTAGCAGAATCAATGGAATTCATTATTAAAAGGACTTTATTTGACTCATCTCACAGGTATCGTCAGATAGGGTAAAGATATCTTCAGCGGAGCGGAATCACACCCGGAAGTTTAAAATTTCAAATAATTTTGGTTAATAATAATGCATACACATGTCAGCAAAGATAGGAAAAAGAGGGCTTCCAACGGCCAAAACCTCAATTAATTTTAATACTTATTTTGAAAAACAAAATGTGTTTGTTTCAGACAGAGTTAAGTAAAGGAAATTAACTCATCAATTTCGATACAAGAGAAATTAAATTTTTGAAATCTCTTTTATAGATATTAAAGTACATCTTCTACTGGAACACTGGGAAAGAATGATTTTACATCAAGAGCAACCATGATGAAATTTCTAGAGGAAATGCCTTTGACTTTTCCTAGAAACTCCTCCAATAATCTCTATTCGACATATTATTTTAACTCAAACGGTAAAACGTACTGATAACTTTTGCGGACTTAAACAGGTTATGACGGTGTTTGTAAATGTGCAGTCTAAAAAAAGGCACATGTTTTCATAGCCACAGCCAGGGAGTGCAGGGAGGTGCCCTTTCACCCCTCTAAATAAATGTAATTTATTTTTCCCCTCGGATATTAACCAGCAAAAGCTCCAAAAATTTATTCTTAAATCCTTTCAACGCATAAATTCAACGAACCACTGGACCGAGAATCTTTTCCAACCTCACAGTCACGTGATATCGGGATAGTCAAAAATGATTATATAATTTCTTCAGTAACTTTGGACTGGAAGGGAGTTAAGGGAAGCTTTCCTTTGGGAAAAATTAGGAATTATGCCATTTGGGAGTCTCAGATCTCTTTCGGTTAATGAGAAGGGAAGAGGAACTTATTACGTTAATCAGACTCGGCAAATTACTTAGCGTTAAACAGTTATAAGAAACTTATGCTGTAGAGCATAACTCGTTGAATGTACAGAAATGTTTTTGCACATGGAGTTTAAAGATTTTCAATAGACCAGCCAGAAAACAAGAATGCTCATATGCGTCATACAAGTCGCTGATCTAGCCATGAATCACAGTTCTTCAGATTTGTATTTGCACTATGCATGTTTTTGTTTAATTTTGTTTATTCTATCAGCTTTTATATTACTAAATTCAGCACGCTTTGTTTGCGTTTTTCACTTTTCAGTTAGTCAATCTAAAACCAACTTTGCAAATGGACTCGGAGCAGTTTATCGTAATTACTGATTGTTGACAGTGTAAATGATATGATGGACATGAGAAATTTTTGAAGGTAAGTTTTTTAGTGTCTTATTACTACCTGTAACTTTTTTAGCGAATGACAAGGCACTTGCAGATTACTCTCTGCATATACAGCAGGTGTAAGGCAAATAACAACTTGTACTTTTCTTATGATCAGTTAGAATAAATGTCAGTTATTGTCCACGGAGTACAATCAAGAGGGTATTTGCTTTCAGAGTCTCCAAATTCTCTCCTTTTTATGCGAGAGAAAGGCAGAGTCATGAGGAATTTAAGGCCATCTTAAACATGAGCTGAAACTTGGATCTTGTGTCTTAGTCAGTACAGACTCTGTCGTTCGAATTTTTACTAAGCAATCTAAAAATACAAGCATATTTCTTGAGATTAATATTTGAAAACTTCACTAAGTGAGAAAATAGTTGTAGAACTTGGAAGTTATGGAATAAATTTTATAGTCAATACTATTATAATGAGGCTAATGTATATGGGGAGGGATAATGAAGGGTAAAAATGTTTTTCTGGATTTAACGATCGCAACTTCTTCAAATTAAAAGTAAGTAAGAAAAGAAACTAAATATAATAGTACAACAATCCCCTTTCTTTTATTTTCTTCTTCTTTTTTGGTATTACAGCAGTTGTAAAATTTTTTTAATGTATCTATTATTATTATTATCATTAGCAACATATAGAAGAATGTTTTGAAGAATTTTCTTCCAAGTTTCCACCAAAGAAAATTTTAGATACAAACAAGAAAACGCGCATTGAAGCAATATGATTGATTAAATATCAGCATAAAGTATTTTATGTGCTTTAATTACCATAAAAATTATGAAAGCAAAAGAAACACATCGGTGTCAAACAACGATTGAATTTTATCATTCAATAAACTTTATAATCGTATATACAATATGATTAAAAAATATCTGCGATAAAACGTAGAGGCAAATAGACGAATTAAAATAAGCAAGTTTTGTAATGGTATACGTGCTCCAAAATGGGGCTTAGAATTTGTAAATTCAACGCTGTTGGGCAGTAGGTAAAAGCACTGTTGTTGTTAGTTGTACTTTCCATGTAGATTTCTAGTGGTACTCATCTCTGCACGAGCGTGGAGCTTGCTGATATGCATTTTATCTACGGCGCTGTGGATGGAAACGGAGCAACTTCTCAAAAGGAGGTACTTGAAAACTTGTCTTTGTTTGAAGTTGCTCCGTCTTAGCCACAGCTGCATTTACAAAATGTATATCAGCTAATTTGTTGTTCGTGCAAGAATACATACGGCTCAAAATCCTCAGGGAATGATGATTTTCGCCAGCTTTATCTACCGCTCAAAACGGTGGTGTTTCAGCACACACATTCCATCACAAAATCTGCCTACTTTGGGCCCCTCTATTTGCCCTTAGATTTTTTAATCACTTTTTATACTATGTATGTATGTGTATAAAATGAAAATTTAATTTTAATTTCAAACCTTTGAGTTTTAGTGTGGAAGCTCTATGCTTTGAATCTGCATTACACACCAAGCTCTATTTGATTTCAACTAAAATTTAATACATAAAGATTAATTGACAACCTCTTTAAAAAAAACTCTTTGTTAATTAAAAATGTCGAGTTGCAACATACATCTCTGGGACCCGCTGCACTTTACTCAAGGAAAAAATATGAAAAGTTCTCGATAATGTTTTAAAATGCGGTAAATTCTTCCAAACCCTCCTCTGTTAACATAATTAATAGCCATTTTAAATGTCTGCCGAAATTAAAATTTCTGTGTAATTAAAATGTCCATCATTTAAAATTACACGCTGATAAAAACGAAGGGTCAAATACATCCATTCGGAATTCCGTCATTATTACCAACAACAGGATAACAAAACAGGTTGAATGATTTTTTCTGCCCCTCCCCCCAAAATTGCTAATT